GTATGTGGCGACGCTTTATTACAGGAATAGGTAATAGATTGGATTCCACAAACAATGCAAATTACGTGTGAAAAATTAATATTTGGTTTTTTTTTAAGTTTTTTTTTGTGTGGAAAATTGCGTGAACCACGTCCTTGGCGCATAATGCCAAAAACTGTCCACGGACGAAATAAATAAAACCTATAAATTAACTTAGTTTTTACGGTGGGACGCCACATTAATGTATGAGAATGTGACTGTTTTTAAATCACTAACGATAAAATATTCAAAAAACAGCGAACCCTAATCACTTGGTAAGTGTGCATAGCAGTAGGTAAATGTATTAATTCAAATAGAATAAATTATGGATTCGTGGGAAATTTTTTAAAGTATATTGATCTTAATTTCTTACACCGTCTAGGTATTTCCACGACGTTGTAGTGATCTAAATAATTAAGTGATCTGTTAATCCGTCCAATGGTTGTTTTATTGCGCAGAAGTCCTATACGAATATATTTTAAATATCGATTTTGCACTGTCATGAAGTAATTGTTCTAATATATTATATTATTGGTACCACAAGGAGAACCATTATCGATCGATTATTAATAAACAGGCTTATGAGTTAGCAATAATATAATATATAAACTATATTATCGACCACGTGTCGATTGTAATCATCGTTGCCATACAACATATTAAAATATACTGATATATTACGGTAATAGTTCAACCTATAAAATATTTATATAATATGAAACGTATGCAGTACACGGTATTCTGTATAACATCTAATTCATTAAATGGACGATAATAATTCAAAATTACTCTTTAAATTTGTAATAATTAGCATTGTTTATACAGAAATATTCGAATTTATTAATGTCAATCAAGATAATACAAATATGTTAATATAATATTTGAACATAATTATACTTGTTATAATTGGGTTTCAACATGGCAATACAAATTAAGTATACCTCTCGACTTAATATGCCTACGTCAGTTGTTAAATAAAAAGACAATAATAATAATAATATATTACTATTATCACAAATACGGCGCCAAAGTATAACGATACACTCCAAACAAAATATGCAATACAGTATTGGTTTCCCTTGATGGCTAATCGTTTCGAAAATGTTCTATGTAACTATTAATATGTTTTTTAATTTTAAAAGTGAATAAATCTATCGTAAAACTACTAAAAACGTTATTATTAAAAAATATTTTTTTTCTGCGCCGATAGGTACAGGTTATTTACATTCCTAAAAAAGCGGCACCAGGGAGTAAGCCATTAATTTTAAGCTGCAATAGGCAGCACTAACAACAGCGTATGAGAAAAATTCAAAAGTGTCTACCAAAAACAATTTATCATCATAATCACGAGTATGGGTCTAGACTATTGACTGCTGGACGGCTTTACACGTTTGGCTGCACTTGTACTTAAGCGCATTTCTCGTTAAAATTAACAACAAATCCTTCGCGACCAGTAAAAAAAAAAAATCTACGTTTCAAGTCGACCTCAACGATATTTACATATTTCCTTGAAAAATTACTACAATATATTTGGATGTATGTATTATATTTTATATTATATAATATTATTATTCATTATTTTCGACCTACTCGTTGTTATAATAAATCGATTGTATATAGAAATACCTATATTTTACAACAAAGTATATTGACACGAAACGTTCGTTGTCTATACACACCGCGCTCACACATGTGAGAGATAATTAATCCGGACGTTCCAAGTGGGAGAAAAATAATTATTTTAACCTCACATACTTTACGTAGTCGGTTGTGTACGCTGCTCAATCCTTTAACGAAAAAAAAATCGCAGAGACAGAGGCGGACGTCGTTACGATCCATAATACATTATGTAGATCGCTTATAGAATACAGCGATAATAGTATAGCTATACGCGTTGTAACAACAATAATCATCATACACACATGGGAAATGCCATTAAGTGCATATAGATTATATGTAGGTGTAATTATTATTATCATAAATAAGGGTTAACTGTCATGTGGCATGCGAAAACACCTGTGCCGCCGTACTTGTACCTGTGAACTTTATACGTGTGCAAACTAGTAGTTACTAGAGTACAAATTTATCATAAAATATATATGTTCTTAAAATGCACTATGTAGCATGTGGACAGTAGACTTAAGATTAGGTCGTTTTATGACAAAACGTTTCGGACGGCTACTACGCATCAACGCGACGGTCAACTGATAAGAACCTAACGACAGCGCATACCACGAGCATAATATTCATTATATGTATTCTAATTACTAGTGTCGTATATGTATTTATATTTGTATATATATATATGTATTGAATGTATATACAAGCATGGAAATAATTTGCGAGTACTGTGAAACCATTGTTAGGTGTACGCGCGTTTAATACGGAACAAATTAGAAGAAAAAAAATGTATATATGTATATGTATGGATACACCCATAGTCTATACAATATCCTATCCTATGAGTCTATAATACACGAGAAGACGGTGCGAGAGGTACAGCAGCAGATGTGTATAGAGAGAGAAAAAGTCGACGCCACCAATCGGCTGCGGGAGATTAGTTGTCCATTTGACACGGTAAACGATAACAATGATAATTGTCATTGCGACGCAGAAGGAATACCTCTGATGGATGACGTAAAGTACGCGAATTTAACGGCAAATTCGCAGAAGGATTACAGATAATCTTCGGCGAACGAGAGAAAAATAATATGTTCAACAGAGATAAAACCGAAAACGCCACCGAGTATCATAACATTAAATATGTATTCAGGTATCGCCTAACCGATAACAATAATAAAAACAAAAATCATAATATTATGATTGAAATATTAATTACCTTAGTTGGAAAATGCGAGACGACGGCTAATGGTAAGATAACGAACGAGAGGGAAAACGACAATGAAGAACAGCTGACACTAAATTATATAAAAGGACGCGACGGCGCATTTAACTATATAAACTTTGAACTTACATAACACGTAAGAACTTTGGCACGAAAAGTGCTGAGATACGGGCGATGGTCTATATGACTTTATTGTACTCTGTCAAACAAAATAGGTATTAACGACATAGGCAAAACAAACTTCGCTTCCGCTTTAGATCTTAATAAAAAAAACAGCTCATAAAATATCATTAACTGCGCCTTAAAATATGAACATTGCACAATACGAAGAAGCCTCGCGTCCGAGAGGTGACTTTGAAAAAACATAAGCTGTCGTTAAAAATAATTAAATTCTATACACGGACCAACCATTGTTTTAAAGGTAATTATTTTTTTTTTTACGATGACCAATAAGCGCCGTGCATTTTTGTTTGGTAATTTTAATATTTTACTATTTGGTATGATGTCGTTAGACTTAACGTACAAAATATTTACACCTATACTACATTCAAGTTTTGATGGAACCTCGTCAGTCGCCTATAGCGTGGCCGCCGAGGTTTCCTTCTAAACGTAAATAAAGTGTGTGTAGAGACGTCCAATGATTGAATTGGAATTATCTGAAATTTTGTTTTTCCACGAATGCTATTAACATACCTAATTATGTTTAATGAGAAAAAAATACAGACCTTAATATTATACAGTGAGTTTATTATTATAAAAGGAACACCGGGTCAAACGATTACTTATACAATTCATAAATGAACTTTGCCATTAATTAAGCGGAACGTTGTAAGTTTCACACTATGTAGCAGCTTTTGATAAGCGAAAATCTGATGAAACTCAATTGCATAACAGTAATAATATCATGTAATCTCAAATTGGACTCGCAGGAGAAAAAAACCATTACAAATAGCATCTTCGAGAAGCGCATTATTCATCTTCATCGCGTGGTTTGTTTACATTAAGATGATCAACTCTGGACAGTTACGTGTAACGTCAACAAACCTTTAAAAGAGTTCTCGTGCCAGACAGCCTGTTTGTACAGTTAATTAATCAAACGTTTTTATGGAGTTTAAACTTTGCCGTATATACACATTACACATTATTATTATATGAACGTTTCTCTGCGAGCACTTGTGCCCGGCACGGACCGGGTTAAACGGGTTACCATTTACCGCACGTACAATTATCGCTTTATCTAGCGGGATTAGATATTATGTATGTGTGTATTTTAACGTGCATAATATAAATTAATTCTAACGTTATAATAGGAATTTTCCGCGATGTTCAAACGAAATGCTTACAGGTCAGCACATACACAACACGGCGGTATTAAAAAACGATTCATCGGTTATATTAAATGTGTATATTATTAGATATATTAATAATAAGACGGGTTGTAGCTACAAAGACTGAGTATCCCACGCGTGGTCGCGTTAACATACCAATTATTATTAAAAAAATAACCAAACCCCCGGTCCACGGACGATTTTCGATCAGATTCTAAAAATTATTAATATAACTCGATATCCGACGGTCGGTCGGTGGCTTTAGCGGTTGTATAATAATGATTATAATAATATTTACCTATGCATACATGCGTATATTTATGGTCGCAGCACGTGGGCACTAGATTTGTGTGTGATGTGTATACAATTATTACTGTCGTGTGAGCGAGATGTTTCACATTTGTGTTGAGAACGAAGTGTGAACCTATCATAAATGGAAACGCCTAAGTAAAAAGTAGGTGTACCTAAATAATTACAAAAATTTGACCCGACCGAAAGGCTTGTGAGTTGGGTGCCAGGGTAACCAGAATAAGAATATTATATGTACAACTTTTACGCGTTCAAAATACAAAATTACTTTAATCGCGATCAAATACAATTATTTATACTATTGTATTGAATACTATAATATATAATTAAAAAAAGCGTAACAGTTTTGTGTTATCTCAGAATCTATCTAAGTTCACGTTAAAATGAATAGTTCCCATAAAAAAAAACTCGTTTACAAGAGGATTTATTTTTCTACGGCTTTGTTGGCCCAAACACCCTTTGAATATTATTAACCGTTAAAAAAAAAAGTAGGTACGCACCTTTCGCTATGCCGGTCAGCACGTTTCCCAGATAGACGACCTTGTAGCAAGGATCGTATTCGGTGATGGTCACGGATCTCCTTCGCCATATCTTGCCCAGACCTAGGGATCCCAAGCTGATGCTCTTTTTGAACGGTTTCACCTTTCCGCCCGTTATGAGTTCCGGGTGTTGACTGTCGTGCTTCATAGTGGCGACACCACAAGCATCAGACACACTTTGGTATTGAATATCTGGAACACAAAAAAAAAACGCATATTATATTTCAAAACATGTTACAGTTGTGCTGCGAAAGAATGAACTAACAAAAATAACGCATGTTGTACGGGTATCAAGTTCACGCACGAATATGCATAGGTGGTAGCAATAAGTCAATCATCAATATTTGTTTTTAGCAAAACCGAACCAAAGATAAACCACACTGCTAAACACGCGGCGTGCTACTAAAATGGATTTAATGTGTATTTTTTTACTAGCCGTCGTCGCTGATAACAATACAGTATAAATATTTATTGTTATTAAAGTATTATAATTTCATAATTAGTCCCGACTTATCGTCGTCGTGATCATAATAATAATACTAATAAATCTCTGATATTCCTTCCTCTCGCAATCATTGTATTAATAGTATTATTATTAAAATTCCAAATAAAAGTACTATACACCGTTGCATCATACCGCGCTTGAAAAACCATTCAGCCAACAGTGTTATTATGTCTAAATTTATATGTTTGCTTTCAAAACAAATGCACCTTACATTAAATACATATTTTTATTACAATCAACGGACAAAACCTACTACTCCCTCCCTCCCACCACAAACCTACAGCCTATCCAAAAACATTCACTGGTTATAATTATTACTGGTCTGCTCTTTTGTCCAAATGCCAAGGGGTGTTAAGTGCATACTATAGAAAATGTAGTAACCTTTGGATTCTAAGGGCCTAAACTATTAACATATTATATCATAATATAACGTCGGGATGCACAAAGTTTCACCATAGTATTGTAAGCCCTGCACGTACGGCCGGACTATTGCAGGTCGATTGACGTCGCGTTCAAAATAGTTTATCATTGATGCAAAAACGTGTTATGGCAGAAATAATCATGTTATGCAAATCTTTTCACACGCGATTGGCCAAATATACTGCATGAGATAAACACATAAAATAAATATTAAAAAAAAAAAACGATTATTGCAAAAATATTATCCTTTGAACGACAATGATGATGATGTTCGGATAATAACTGCGGATAATCGTAAACAAGTCAATTGATATGGTGAACGAAAAATAAATATAAATTGTCGAAGCCCGAAGGTGTTTTTTTTAATGAAGAGAACAATTATTATTATTATTTATTACAAACGCAAAATGTTGCAAGTACGGGCGCAAGTTTGGTATTATTATTTATTTTATTATTATTATAATACATATTTTTTTTAATGTAAAGCAAATAAATAAATGTAAACATAATATTACAATAATATTATTGACGTGGCATTGATCTATAAACGTACATATCATGTTTTTGTGTGCGTTTTGATAGGAAAGAATAAATAGTTATTGGAAAACGTACCTATTCATACAGAACCTATAAGAAAACATCATCATAATAGTGATTAAAAACCGTATAGTTAAACTGACAATATATGCGATATATACCTAGTAGAAAAAAACTCTTTTTTAATGAGAATTTATTATGTTTTTTATAAAATTTATTAATTTTCATGACCGGCTACGTAGAAACATGAATTTAATATCGCGAATCTTGTTTTTTTTTTTTTACTTCTTTGATTTAAGCGTGTGTGGCTATATAAAATATTATATGTATAAGACATCTGAAAATCATCGGGTGTGTCATGTGTGTGCACGTATAAATCCGCGTTGTATAATAATTTATATTAAAGCAGCAATAATATTAAAAAAAAGTGTATTGCCGGCGTAAATATAAAATTTAAATTTCATCGAACCAACACCAACCAACCACTCGGAAATAACGAGATTTTTTCCATCCATTAGTTTCAGAGTGGTATCAGCTATGTATGTGTAGTTCATTACTGTTTACTATTTGTATTTCGATATATTTTTATAGTAAAAATACAAGTAAAAAAGTGAGAAAAATACACTCGTGCACGTTTATCGGGGCTCTCGAGGGACACTCGTGTGTTCCCTAACGGCTGGTCAAATACGAAATTCACACGAACGAATAGTGTCAAGGACCTAGGCGTGCGACAAAGCATAAATTACAAATAAATAAAACCGCTAAACACGTGTAAGGTGCAAGCCGAACTCGGAAGGAACAAACGTTATAACTCATAATATACGCAGACAACACTGACATATTTTCGCCGGTCACCTTGAACCAAAGGATTAGCCGCCTCGGCCTTTCGCCGCTGCTCAGCTGGCCGGACGGTGACCTATAAGAACTTTGGGTGGAAACCAGCATAAATGGTTCCGAACGATATCGGGAAACGCGCGAACCTCGGACTTTATTGAGTACTTGGACGTGTCATTTTGATTGTCAACGTCCTTGGACCATTAAATCAAATATGTAATCGCAATCCAATAATAAGTGTATCAACACAACCGTGAACTCTGACCAAATTTACGGTAGTGTATATGTGTAGTAATTCGCAGAGCCCGTTTTTCCTAGTAATTTGGTAAACGAACATCACAAAGCCGCAACAGCATCAATGAAGTTCGACGTACGAACACAGTGCACAGACCTTCAAGTAGTAATAATCGTAACTACAGATAGATATGAACTGCGCCGGAAATTTAGATTCTTATCAGTCGTTGATATATTTTGTATTTCTTTGTTCGACCAATTTTTAATAAAATATCGGGAGCAACGGCCGCGACTATTGTGGCGACACGCAATACAAAATAAAAATATAATATCAACTTCAATTTTATTTTTTACAATGGCTGGGTTAGTGTTTGTGTGTGTGTGTGTATACGTGCTCTACGAAAGTCAAAATAATAATAAAGTTAGCGTTATATTATTATTAATGGAGAAAATTAAAAAAATCATACCATTTCTGTCCGTTAAACAAATTGTTGCGAAGGGGGGGGGGGTCCGACTAGTAACATTAATACACACTTGAATGTGGCCTATGTAGCCAAAACGCAAGTGACGAACACAAATCATTTTTAAAATCGGTTATTATTAGATATAGTATAATATCGCAGTTTGATTTTAATACTTTAATTGACTTGAGACAAATCATGCGGTTCGTAGAACTCGACTGACGTTAAACAAATATTTCGGATAACACCTTTCTATACGATTCTCGAAAAGAAGGAAGCGCCGCCGGTCGTACACATGTACACGCGTGTTATCTGTCCGTAAGTGCACATTTTATCGAGTGACATAATCTTTACACTCGGCGTGCCACGGTATACACGTATGAAGTTGGCGGGTATGAAGATTCACGGTTTGCGCACACAATAACCGTACCGCTCGGAAATGTTTTGAAAGCGTTAATTTTTAATTGATCCACATCCGTACAACTAACTACTTATACCTATACTATGTTGTACACACACACACAAGTAACGGGACACGGAATCTCATTCACCTGTGGTTAAAATGAAGTAATATAATAACAAATAGGAAATTACTAACATAGGTACATAAGTAAGTTATAAGTTGCCATATTAAAAAAAAAACAAAAAACAAAAGCTACCTACTTCCAATATTATTCCTCTGTTATCGTTCGCTTTCCGGTTTAAGTATACTCGCAATGCTCAAACGATGTTAGCATGTAAAACGTTTTGGTTCATCTGTTTGCCATCGTCTCGCTCGTTTCGGCTCACCGTTAATTAGCACAACAGTGGCTCAAATCGTTGCTAAATAGTGTCTAGAGTTTCAGTTCGAATTTTCGAATTTTTTTAATATATTGTACACGTTACTACTTTGAACACACACACTCGTACACAAACGCCATGCACAACAATATAAAACTAATGCATCTGTTGACAACCTCACCATAATTATAAATGGGAGCGCCAGTAACGAACAGCACTTCCTTATAGTGGTGTCATCAAATTAATTTATCGACACCCCGACTGATGTCCCCAAGTTCATCTGTAGACTGTAGAACAAAACTTACCGTATAATATTATACCAAGCGACAAAGCAACATTAAAAAAAATCTCACTTTTGAAGTAGTTATAGTCCCAACCTATTTACTTGATATTATTTTGCTGGAAAAGTAGGCTTTTTATGGCCGTCTCTCGGTATTCATTTTACACAACTACAGTTATGGTTCGATTACGGGACATGTTATGCCCACACGACCGAGGCGTCTGTGGTGTGATGTCAGTTTCCACGGAAAATATATTTTTCGCCAACGTGTTACAACATTTTTTTTTTTTGTTATTCCCGTCCGTGGGTTTTGCGCAGACATTTTAAACGCACATGATATTCGTATACATTCCATATTTCTCTACTGTATTATATTATATGCAAAAATACGGCACGGAGGCGACGAGTGGGAAAAACGCGGGCGAACGGGTCTAGAAACCTTTAAAACGTTTTGCTCATTAAGGATATGAACGTGAATATTATGCAAGGAAACCGGTTGTCACAAACACACACACACACACACAACACCCAACCGTCGACATGGCCAACTATGTTATCGAAACTCTAACCCAAATGCTAGAGGAGTCTGTTGTACAAGTCAGCCGGCAGCGCACGCGGTCACTGACCGTATTTGAATTTTTGCAATTTATAATATAACGTCCGAACCATTTGAATATTGGATTTTATTTTTTCCCCCTGTAAACTCTTTGGTCATTTTGTTTACTACAGCCAGGCGCCCGGAGCGATTCGCGATTATAAACGTACAGCGTAGCGTTCGAATAGGCGAACAATAAGATATAATAATTTATTTTTAAATTTTATTATTATTCATTTCGCTTTAACACGGTGATCGAGCGATTTTTGGGAAAACGAAAAATCTGAAAACAAGCCCATTACTGTGATTAATTGCTCGTTAGTATCGCCTAATAAACGGCACGTACGAAAACACCGCCGTAACACAGTTTGTACAGCACAAGATTGTTGTTGTTTGTTTAACGGCCGATACGACTACAGGAATATTTCGAGTTATAGCTACAATCGCAGTGTCACTCGTTGGTGAATCACATTGATTTTGTTAAAACAAAAGAAAAACCTGCAAATCGCTTTGTACGCGTGTCTATTATCGAGTTACACCGAAATT